GGGGGGGGGACGACACGGTAGCTGCCTTCACGTGTCCGAAGGGCCTGTCATAGACGACAGGAATTAGAGTCACTCTACTTGGGCCCAGAGGGCAGAACCACGAGCAACGGGAAGACGGCACAAGGGTCACAGACGTGGCTGGGCAGCTATGGAAGGTAGTAAGCTGCTCATGACCACAAGTATTCGAGCAGGGGCTTGACAACTTCCCACGATGAAGGAGCTTCATTCCCAGACAGGTGACCTCGAGGCTCCCTTCCAGCTTTTGCCCCCCTAATGAAGTCAACCGTGTGCCCGGCCAACGCCCTGCAGAGCGCACGGGGCCCCTTGTCCAGAGCTGGGCGAGGGACGTTCACTTTGATTCATTCCAAGCAGGCACCTCCCGAGGGGAGCCCCGAGGACCAGAGTGTAGGAGGCGTCCACCCTGCTGGGCCACGGGGCCATGCCAGCAGAGGCTCACACCCCCTCAGCTGCGCCGGCCGGCCTTCCACAAGCTCCTACTTTCAAAGTCTGAGAGGCGACTGTCCCCCAAGTCCGGGACCAAGCCTTGGACGGGGCACACTCTGAAGTAACGAGAGCTCCCCAACCACGTTCGTCGGTAAAGATGTTGCGTGTAATATAAAAGCTGGCCCTCGTGGGGCCCTGGGTAAGTGCCTTCCTCTCTCTGGGCCTCAGTTTCCTCATCTTTAAGATGAGGGGGTTGGACAAGGGAATGTCCAAGGGCTCTTCCAGCTCTGACATTGTGAGGGCCCGCCAGCTTGCCCATTCTGCTCTTTCCCACAATCCCACCCTGGGAGCAATCTGGAAAGCCGCCCCGATTTCACTGGGGACGTCTCGGTGCTCTCCCCTTTCCCGCCTATTGTGCGGCCTAGCTGTGGGATACAAGGAGGGCGAGAACGTGAGAAGGGCTAGTCACAGCTGGCTAGCAGCCCCCAGCGCCACTGTTCGGGGACTAGCAGGGATCCGCTCCTGGGAAGCCACTGGGCCCCGGGCAGACCCCAGCCCGCTGAGTTCATCTGGGGCGGAGGAGGGGCAGGGATCAGAACAGGCAGGCCAGCCAAGAGGCTCCAGGCTGGGGACCCTGCCACAGAAGGACCAGCTGAGGAACCTTGGGACGCCTAGTCTGGAGAAGAGCAGGCTCGGGGTGAAGGGCCTGCTGGCTCTCTCCAAGAACCTAAAGGCCAGCACCGAATGACAGGCAGAGTGCTGCTCCACTTGGCCCCAGAGGAGGGGCGAGAAGGAATGGAGGAATGGAGCAGCCCACTCGGGCTCAGTCTAAGAAGACACTTCTGCGCTCTTCAAGCCCCTTCCCCTTCCCCTAAGCAGGGGCGCCCTCTGAGGTCAAGGCTGCAAGACGCCCATCCAGGCTGGGAGGCTCGGTGGGGGCCGCCTTGGAGGTCTGGCCGGCTCTCTGCAGCCTCCAGGACCCCCAGTGGGTGCTGCTCCCCGGGCCAGAGGCCGCCCTCTGTCCCAGGGGCTGGCTGCCCACACGGTCACCTGAGGCTCGGCTGCTGAAACAGCTCACGCCCAGCTGGGCAACATTCTGGGGCCCACGTCACAACTCACTAGTTTGAGGGAAAATCTTTGCTTCGCAAGGCTGGGTTCAGAGGCTGACACAGCTGTGAAAGAAGGGAAGATGCCGGGTTACCGCCTGCACGGGCCGGCAGGCATACCTGCTAAGGCCCACCTGGGGCCAGAACCTCCCTGGACTCAGTCAAGAACCAGGCTTCTCCTCCCCGGCCCAGACAATGAGGAGGCTGGAAAGCTTTTCACTGCAGACTTCGATGTTCTGAGGCCTCTGCCAGCCCTGACACTCCATGTTCTAAGCTCCCTCCCAGCCCTGACACTCCATGTTCTAAGCTCCCTCCCAGCCCTGACACTTCATGTTCTGAGGCCCCTTCCAGCCCTGACACTCCATGTTCTAAGCTCTCTCCCAGCCCTGACACTCCCTGTTCTGAGGCCCCTCCCAG